CTGCCGACCTTTGAGTTAGCAGCCAGCAGCTCAGCGCTTACCCACTGCGCCACCAAGTCTTCTTAAAAGCAGTCATCAAATCAAAAGAGAATAACGAGATGACATGGGCACACTTCTCAGCACTGAGTTAACAATGTTATTTCCTGGGCAGGAGTTTTGGAACAAAAAGGAGAAATGAACCGCCCACCACAATACACATAAAGCCAGCACGACGTCAGGAGAGCACTTTGTAACAAGAAACTCGAGAGGAAAGCGCGCTGCGCGTTTCTTCTTCGAAAGCTAAAGTCCTGTAAATACCCCCACACCAGTCACCATGTGGGAACGCAGAAAACAACAGACACCGAGTCTTTCAAAGTCTTTCTCCTCAATCTCATCCTGCTGCGACACAGGCACCCAATCAAACTCTCCACCTGGGGGCCCGGCCGTAGTCGGAAGGGCAAGCAGAACGCGGTGGCACAGCCCCGCCCTCGAAACCGGCCCCCGCCGGGAACCCCCCCTCGACGCCCTCCTCCTGGCCTCCTTCCACTGCCCCCCACACCCCGGGCTTCCCGGGCCCCCAACGGCACCTCCTCACCTAGGCCCAGCCGGCCGGGAACCGCGCACGGAGCGGAGGGACGGGGTGCTCGCGGTGGCCGTGCCGCCAGTGCGCGTGCCCCGCCCCAGCGGCCGACCTGAGCGGGCTGGCGCGCCCCTCAGGTTTACGTCTACGCGCTGCACGACGTGAGGGGCGGGGAGTCGGAGCCCGTCTTTGGATTGGACGATGCAGAGAAATGGGCCTAGTGATTGGATGAGGACAGAGCGCCTCGGGTTTGAAGCGAGGACCGCCGGCTCCGCCGGTTCTGAGGGAGCTTGGCACTGCCCGAAACCAGGGAAAGGCGTCCATTGAGGGCTGAAGCATGGGCTCTGGGTTAAAAGCCTCGGCTAGCTTCAGAGTAATGATTACCTTTTTCAGCTTGGGACCCCCGAGCACTCTCACCTTAAACACGAATAATTCCGGAGAACACGTCACCTGACACCACCATGACTTTGGTCCTTACGGAGCAGAAGTGCAGATCTTTTCTGTCCCCGTTTGTTAGACGCTGAAATGGGTCATGATTTGCTCTGTTATACACTGCTAAGCTGACTCAACGGCAACAAACAACAAATACATTGCTAATAAGCGTCAGTCAGGAAACCATTACTCTGGACTATACCTAATTCCCTCTTTGTGAAGGAGTAAGGTTGGCAAGGTGGAAAGAGGTGAGATGAGACCTAATTCATCCCTAATTAACTTCCTAGTTTTCCCATCCTTCTTAGGCCACCAAGCCCATCACCGCCACCTGCTCAGCACAAGCCCTTTACTACTACTTTACTCAGATCTCGGAGCGCTGGTGGCGCGGTGGTTAAGAGCTATGTAATCAAAAGATTGGCAGTTCGATCCACCAGCCGCTCCTTGGAAACCCTATGGGGCAGTTCTACGCTGTCCTACAGAGTTGACGGCAACAGGTTATACTCTGACTTTACAGGTCAATTTCACACTTTCACTTCCCTTTTATCTCAAAATTTCTTGTACTCCCTTTCCCTACAGTCTCAGAGGTAGTGTCCCTCTTTTCCAAAGCTAATTCCCTAACTCCATTCACTCAATGGTTATTGAATGTTTGAGATGCACAGCACATTTGGTAGGAAAGAAAAGGAAAAACACACAATTGAGCTTAACATTCCCTACTAGTGAGAAAAAATATTTGATCACTTTCTATCTTCTCCAAAACATTCCTCAGCTATTATTTCTGGATACTTGACCCTGTCCACTGGCTCCTTTCCCTCTACATATAAAAATGCTCCATCTCCCCATCCAAACAAATAAACCTTCCTTGCTTCTGTTTTATCACCTACAGACCATTCTGTGACTCTCCTTCCCTTCATTGCCTCCACATTTACACCTTATTTTCACCCATTCCACATTATCTAGCTTGGTCCTGATCACTACTTTAACACTCCTTCCAATGATCAGGAACAGCCTCCTATTACCAAACTCAGTGATGTCTCCTCAGTTCTATGGACAGCTCTTCTTGAAACCCCCAAGCCTTTGGCATTTGTCAAGTGTTACTACCCCTGTTCTGTGTGCATGCTCAACAAGAAACTGTAAGCAGAGAATAATCTCAAATAAGGTATGGCTAAATCCTGAAAAAATAAGCTCCAGAGCTGCAACGATGCTATTTGAGGGTAATGAGCCATCATTCTTCCACAAAGTACCTTAAACTCCAATCTACACTGTGACTACACATTTGAAGGTGAACTGCTGGGATGTATCTGTGTTCCAGACTGTATTTCACCTTGTACTCCGGCTACCTGACTCAATAAATTTCCTACCTCCATAAATACCTTCAAATCACCCCTCTATAACGCCCAGCAACGTGATATACATTTCTAGTAAGAGACCTACAATCCAAAGTATCTGCAGCAGACCTGGATTCTGATGCCAGACTACCTAGATCTGAGTCGTGGGCCTCCCACTTCCTAGCTGTGTATCCTTGGGCAAATAGCTTTAACTTTAGCACCGGTTTCCTCATCTGTAAAATGGGGATAATTAGAGCACTTGCCTCAGGTTTGTCACAAAGAGTAAATCCATTCATCCGTGTTGGGTATGTAGAAGAGCACTGGTCTGTGGTGAGGACTCAGCAAACACTAGCTATTATTCTACACCTCAATAACTAACCTTGCTTGCCAACTGAAAAGGAAGAACAGGAACTTCGCTGTGCTCTCCAAATCTCCTTAGACATTAAATTGAGCCTCAGATGCCCCATGGCCACAGGCACTTCCAAGGGGTTAGAGGCAAGAGCAGAAGTGCTGCCATTCAGTTAAGTCAGACATCTTCCATATCCCTCTACCAACTAATTTAAACAGGAACACCTCAGCCACCAATATCCAAAGCCTTCTACAGTGTCATCACAAGGTGTGATTCCAGATTAACCTCCCACTAGTTTCCTAAATGTACTGTCTTTGACCTCTGGATCATCTTGGAAGGAACTTCAACCTTCCTCCTGCTCCGCTAAGCCACCTGTTGAATTCCCACATCCCTCTCCAACCCTGCTAGCTAAAAAAAGTCACTCTCCTTTACACCTGCTATACTTTCTACCTTTATTACGAAGCTAAACCCCTGTGACCTGCTGTAAATTCTGTAAATGTTTTCTCCCAGTAGAATGATTTTGTGTGCTTTTTACATACCTCAGGCTATTTAACACAGTATCTTGAACATGGTAGGTGTTCGAAATTCACTAAATTAAACTGGAATAGGAATCACTCAATTCATCATCCCATTCTAACCTCTAAAATGGTTTAAATCGTAAAGACATGAATTCTTAATTCTCCGCCAGATTCATCCTGAAGTTAGATTCTTTGCTTTGAACCTAAACAAATCTACAAGTCTAAAACAAATTCTTCAACAGAAGAAAGATATTTGAGAATTATCTGAAAAGGGCTTTTTTTCACATGTGGAATGCTAACCTTGCAGGAAAATATTTTAATAATTAGATACAACAAAGCTCAAATGCTCCTTATATTAAAATTAAGAGAATATATTTTATCAGTTCTTTATCCTTTACATGTTAAGAAGCTCTGAGGGACTGACACTATTCATAGGAAAAGTGTCTTCTAAAATGAGATTATAACAACTGTGTCATCTATGTGTAATTAGAGGCATACGAAATGCTGTTCAAAATGTCTGTAGCCTGGAAGGAGGTTAAGTCCTTGACAACTCTTGAGAAAACTGAACCAAAAATAAATATTACTAGTCCCAGAGTTTTAATCATTTTACCATAATTATTGTCAAATATATTCTGATTTAAAATTTTAAGGTATTTTAGAAAATAATATATTCTAATATTGTCTAACTAAATTAAAAGTCAACATCTATTAGTTTTACCTGTTAGTTTACCTACTGATTTTCTACACTTTAAAATAAATGTAATGCTCATCCCCTAATTTCGTTTTATTTTATTGACATGGTAAGCCTTATCCACTATCAAATAAAATACATTCTATTTTTATAAGACAAAATATTCATAACTTTGAAAATATATTTTATTAAATAACCTACTAGGATAATAATTACAAAAGCTTTAGACAGTAATTCCAAGAAGTGAAAGGCAATTTCCTTTAAAAAAATAAAAAATAAAAAAAAAAAAGACCAAACAGTCCATATTATGTTTTGCTGCTTTATACACAGAAATGATTTATTTTACATACTACTTGGTTGCAACATTAACCTGTAAAATGAAAAATATTTAATATTTCTCAAAGGCAAAGTAAACTTCATAATGATATACTTTCACATTAACCAGTATGACAAAGCTTAAGACCATAACAGTTCAAAATAAAGTTTACAGAACAGGCACTTTGAAGTAAGCTACTGTGTGTAACTCAGAGTTAATATTGCTTGTACATATCTTATTTCATTAAAGGTTATCAATCAATGAAGCAAATGCTCCTTTGATGCAGAAGCACAAACACATTTAGGTTTCAAACACTGTGTTCTGGCTGTAATACATGCAAGACAGACCCTAAATTAGAAAAAATCTTCCAAAAGAAAATGAAGAAAAACAAAAAGCAGCCAGGAATGGAAGCATTTGAATAGGCCTTTAAAATGTTAAATCAGTGTTTTAAACCCCTTCACTCTCAGGTAAGGGGTTAAGAGGCTGAGAGATATATCCTCTGCGAGGGTGAGGATACTGGAGATTGGCAGTGTCAGCATCGCAAGAGTGTTCTACCAGAGGAGGAAGAGGAGGAGGAAGGAGCTGGGCATAACTGGACCGTCTCGATCCAGCCTGTGGGGAATCCAGAGGGGAAAAGAAATACCTGAAACAATGAAGACAAGAACAAAAGACCAAAACAAAACAAAAACAGTAAAAATATAGAAAAGAAAAAAAAAAAAAAAAACAGAAGAAAAAGAGAAAAGCAGTAAATACAAAAAGAACCAAGGAGGAGAAAACACATGCTGGAAAAAAAAAAAAAAAGCTTTAGTATATCCATGCCAAAATTAACAGAACATAATAGCAACAATCAAGACCCTTACTCAAATCAAGATTGCTTAAGCAAGTATAGAAACTTAAAATAAATACAATCTGTTAAATTTAAAATGTTTTTAAAAATTATCAGTATGAATTTTATAAAGACATTAATTTTATAAATTTAAAACATTTTCTAATCTGTCAAAAACATATTTGATGCTATCCTGTAAATTTACAAATCTAGTAAGCTTTTCTCCCCCCTACTTTCAGCAATGCTTCATTTGTAGTAGCAGCAGACCACATTTAGTGCATACATGATACTGAGAACCAATTAAAATACACTTTCACATTAATATGGCTAGCTATTAGAACATACTTTTAAAGAAATACAATCAATGAACATAGTTGTTTTTCTGCAAAAACCTTAGAATCACTACAGAATTTTGATAAGTAAAAGGCTCAAGAATTATGTCATATTGTTATTCTTCTGCCATTTTATCTTACCAGTAATATTTATGCATTTTAAGACACTTAAAAGATTTATAGTTTTGTTATCAAGGTCAGAGCTCTAGAGGATATAAACTAACTGAAACAATCCACTAAATTAAGAAAACCCTAGGACATGCACAATTTTAGCAAAATTTTAACTGCTTCTCAAATTACAGTATGTTGTCAAATCTTCACTTTGAGGAAAGCTTAAGCCGTGTAATCACACCATAAAATGTACAAGCACAAATCAGAAACATTTAACCCCTTAGTGAATACTAATAAAAAACTTACAAAGGTGTTTTCATTTTACTATCAATTTACAAATGAAACAATACCAAATGCTTAACATGGCTATAAGCTATACAAATTACTTTCATTTCACTACTACTGCTTCTCTCACTCCTTTACTAATATTTGTTAAATATCACAAAGAAATGACAAAGTTGTACTAAGTGATATGTACAAACCAATTCTACAAAGGGTAAACAAATTAGCACTCCATATAATCTTTATGAAGATCAGTCAATCTTCAAATTAAAATTATAAAAATTCATTTTAGCTTACTATTTTAGAAAACAAAGAAAAAAAATCTATATTCTCCAAATGTTATAAAGTGATATCTTCCCTCTTCCCAACTACTTGTAAGGATGTTAACAATCCTTTTAATTTTTAAACCCATGTTAGTTTCAGGAACATTTCAAAAAACTGTTTCAGTGACAACGTCTTAACAAAAAGCCTCTCCATTTATATTTTAAAAGTTTCAGATAGTGTCAATAAGCTGGCTAGCACAAAAAAATGATATACACTCTATTTTTTAAAGGCCATTTGACTGCATTTAGTAGTAAGGAGGCTGCTGGTGCATCTTGGGAGAGATCAAACGACGCTGGGAAAGGGGAAAAGGAGTTCGCTTTCCATTCCTGTGTGCATGCAACAAGCAGCAAAACAGCAAAGTTACTCCAGTTAGCTTGTACTCAGCTGTGCTTTCTGTTAAAGGACATAATACAAATGGAGAAGGGAAAATGCATCACAGATTTAACACAAAGTTATTGACACAATAAGAATACAGATCAAAACTTCAAAGCTATTAAATACACACACACACACACACACACACACACACACACACACACACGCAGCAGAGACAGCAACCAAAAACCAGATTTTTTAAAAAATTAGAACTAGTATTCTTTTGCTTTGTGAGGTCATCTTCATAATCTGATATCTCCCTATGGTAACCTGAAACTGTTTCAATGAAAATACATAAAACCTCAAAGTAAACAACAGAACTTCTTTATAAAAATACAACAATATGAATAGTTGAGGAAGCTTTAAATTCAATTATCTACTTTAAGATAACAACAGGATAACTACAGGACAATGTGTTCAGGCTATGTCTTGAAGTTTCCTGAATCCTATTCTAAATTATTCACATTGGCATATTAAAATAATAAAAATCTTACAAATTCCCAGATTTAACATCTGCATATGAAAACAAAAAGATGACTCTTTAGACCACATCAAATATTCTTTATTAAGATAAGCAAGAATCTAAAATATGCTAAATATTCTAAAAATTAAGAACTCAGAATTTATCATTTCCTCTTATAATCTCCATTGAAGTTTTAAACAAAGAAGCCAAACTATTTAACTTACGCTCGTCTACAAAGCCTTAATGTATTTTATCTAAAATTTCAGTTTGATCTGAATCAAAGGCCCAACTACTACCAGTACTAACAACAATGGTTCTACTTATCTAGGACTAAAACATTCACTATTAATCCATATTCCTTCTTCATCTCAGTAAAACATTTATTTTGTAAATGTTACTCAGGAAAACATTTAATAACACTTTAAAGTTAGAAACATTTCTAATGATAGACTACTCAGTTTCAGAATATATTTTAGTTTATTTAACGGCCACATAACCTACCTTTAAATATTATGACTGAGTAAGCCAAATACAGAGCTAACAAAGTGAATTTTTAAACTCTAGTAGTGTCGTAATTGGAACCCTGGTGGCGCAGTGGTTAAGAGTTCGGCTGCTAACCAAAAGGTCAGCAGTTCAAATCCACCAGCTGTTCTTCAAAAACCCTACGGGGCGGTTCTACTCTGTCCTGTAGGGTCGCTAATAGTCAGAATCGACTCGACAGCAACGGGTTTGGATTTTTGGTTAGTGTCATAATTATGCTGTGAATTTCTTCATCCCATCTTTAAAACCATGAAATAATAAGCCTTTAATATGGCTAGAATAATGATTTAAAAATAAGACAATTTCTAGTTTTCTTACAAAACAGCCTACCTGCCAGCAGAAGATCCATTTAATGAATTTTGTAGATTTGGGATATTTGAGCCTAAGGAAGGATTTGAGTTTCCCTGCTGAGAATTTCCACTGACTGGGCTCCCATTACCTTTCAAAATCCCAGTACACTTCCAATTGTCCATATAATTAGCTGAAAGAAAAATGGTCAAATAACATTAACGTTATTAACACCAATGCACAATGGTGTAAATCTATGTTCATGTCCTTAAACTACGATTAAAGAAATGAGAAAGAGTCTTCTGTGGGACCTCATAAAAATTAAATATTTCTGTTCATAAAAAGACTCAAAAAATTAAAAAGACAGCCTACAGAGTGGAAGAAAGCCTGGGGGAACCATATACCCAATAAAGGTCTAATATTCAAAGTTTATAAAATACTCTTTACAACTTAATAACAAAAGAAGTACAAACAACCCAACAAAAAAATGGGCAAAGGACTTGAACACCCATTTCACCAAGAAGGCTATTCAAATGGCCAACAAGCACATGAAAAAATACTCAGTCATTAGCCATTAGAGAAATGCAAATCAAAACTACAGTAAGTTACCATCTCATACCCATAAGAATGGCAATGATCAAAAACACTAGATGTTGGTGAGACGATGGAGAAATAGGAACCCTCATCCATTGCTGGTGGGAATGTAAAATGGTACAGTCACTGCAGAAAACAGTTCGACAGTTCCTCAAAAAGTTGAACACAGAACTACCATATGACCCAACAATTCCACTCTCAGGCATATACCCAAAGATGTGAAAGTAGAGACGCAAACAGACGTTATGTACCAGCTACAATAATGCTCATCACCAAAAGGTAGAAACAACCAAAATGTCCAACAACTGATGAACGGATAAGCAAAATGTGGTATTTACATACAATGGAACGTCATTCAGCCATAAAAAGGAATGAAGTCCTGATGCATGCCACAACATGGATGAACTTTGAGGACATCACGCTGAGTGAAATAAGTTAGACAGAAAAGCACGAATATCGTTTATGATATCACTTTTATGAAATAAGAAAATATATAGAAACCAATACTTTAGCGGTTATCACGGGCAGGAGGGAGGAGGAAAGGGGAAGTTTCTGCTTAGAGTGCATAGAAGATATGTTAATAGTGGTGGGATAATTTGGAAAAGTAGGGCATTTGGTTGCACAACTTGAAGAATATAATCAATGTCATGAAGTGTACATGTAGAAACTGATGAACTATTGTATGTGTTGTTGTGTGTATACTGCAGTAAAAAAAAGATTCTACTGGCTGAGTTTCTTTCAGAATAAACATTAAAGACATTTTTAAATATTATATCAGTTTTAACAATTCTTTTTAAAACTTTTAAGACAATAACTAAAACATAAAGCTCTCACCACCCATTTCTCTTCTTTACATGATAGATATTAGCAGAGACAATTCTCTAAGCTACCACATTATCAAATTAATATCAAAATAAATAAAATCTATCTTCATTATAATGAGCTTCAATTACCATGTATATACAGAGTAAGAGAAGTCTTCCTGGTAATGCAAGCATAACTCAAGTAGGGACCTCTATCCTAGGAGATGAATGTGGGTAACAAAACCTTTAGAGTTTAAGTAACTTATTCAACAAGGCCTAACTCTTTGAATGCAAAATTGATCATTAGCAATAATGAGCCCAGGAAACCCAAGTTAGGAAGCCCAATGGGATGAAGCTGGGTGGTTCTGACTAAGGCCTAGAGGCAGGAAAGTACAGCCAAGCCCTTGAAATGAAACTACCACAGCCTAAGACTGAACATGGAAGGCCCTCAAGCTTGGCCAAACGGTACTCTGAGAAACAGTAACTGCTCAGAGTAAATGAACTACCAAAAATAACCCACTGCCTTCGAGTTGCTTCCAACTCATAGCAACCCTATAGGGAAGAAGAGAACTGCCCCACGGGTTTTCAAGGCTGTAATCTTTACAGAAGCAAACTGCCACATCTTCCTCCCGCGGAGCTGCTGATGGGTTCAAACCAGCTAAGACAGCCATAATTTTGAATCTAAAGTATAAAACCCCACCCATGATGGTGACAGAAGTGGATGGACCAAGGACATCTCTGCCCAAGGGATAAACATCCATGGAAAAGCAAAGAACCAAGCGGCAGCAAACGCAGTCACTGTCAACTGACCAGACGGAGTTCTCAATCAGCTTAGCAGCCTTAAGAAACTTTTAGAATTAGTGACTCCAAAATTCTTGAACTTTTGGGAGTGGCAGAGGGAAAAAAAAGGAAAGATACTGGATTTTCTGCTAGTACGGGTGGGCTGGCTAAAGCCATTACTCAACAAAATAAGAGATGACTGTAGTCCTACCCTGAGTTTGTATAGCAGTCACACAAGTTACATGCATAGCAAACTGTATCTTTTTATTGGAGATACTGCATACTTTACTACATACTGCATACTTTAAAAGTTCCTTTGTTCCATATGGAAACTTAAGAAACAATTCAAGTAGTCATTACTGCTATGAAATAGATAAAATGATGAAGACTAAAATAATATAATTTAATATAAAACAATTTAAAGGTAGCTGTATACAGATAATATTTAAAAAATATTTCTGTTTACATTTTTAAGAGAAAATTCTAAAGTAGAAATATAAAACAACAATTATTCCTTCACTGAAGTCTTACCTTTCCACAATCTTACACAGCCATCATCCCCTGAAGACGCTAGTACTGTCCCCGTTATATTCCAACTCACTCGCCAGACTTGAGAATTGTGATTATCAAATTGAGCCACTATATGGATTTCAAATTTTGTTGGTCCACCAGAGGAAGTAAGCTCTTTTCTGTTATTAAAGTTAAATAGGTTATTTACAAGAATGTCTCAATGCTAATTTAGTTTTCTCTAAGTTGGCTGCTACTTCTCATTTTTTTCAAACATTTTAGAGAGTACCAATTATATTCACAGGCTCCAAATCAATTAATATTAACCTAAATAAAACACAATTAAGAGAATATATATCTCCTCTTTACTTAATTTCCCACCCCAAAAGTCATTTCTAAAACTCACCTCACAGGTTTCAATGTAAAAATCCTTACATCTTTGGTTGCTACAGCTAGAATGTGGAACGACCTTCCCAAATTTGGAGCAAATGCAATATCATGTACAGGATCGGTGACTGTCATAAGAGTTTCTGCTTTTGCATATTTTCTAATGGAAAAACAAACAATTTACATTAAAAATTTCAGAGATTAAAAAAAAAGTCCACACTGTGGGGTACCTCATTTTTTTTTCACACTGCTCACACTCAATGTTTATTTGACTAGATGCCCCCACAAAGAAATGTCCAAATCCTAACCCCCAGGATCTGTGAATCTGACCTTATTTGGAAAAAGGGTCTTTGCAGATCAATTAAGGATCTCAAGAGGAGATCATCCTGGATTTATGGTAGACTCTAAACTCAGTGACCAGTGTCCTTATGAGACACAGAAGAGGAGAAACAGACACAAAGAGAAAAGCCTTGTGAAGACAGAAGCAGAGACTGGAGTGATGCAGCCACAAACCAAGGAACGCCTGGAGTCACTAGAAGCTAGAAGTCCCAAGGAAGGAATCTCACTAGAGCCTCTGGGGGAGGGTAGCTGCCAACACCTTGATTTTAGGCTCTGGCCTCCAGGACTGTGAGAGGACTTTTGTTGTGAAGTGACCTAATTTGTGGTGCTTTGCTACAGCAGCCCTAGGAGAGGAATATAGCCTCTTATATCTCTCTTTTGATATTTTAAGTTTAGTTTAAAATGGTTTAATAAAAACTTAACTAAAGTAAGGTCTTGATTTATTAGCCATTAGTATCTTTTTTAAGAAAAAGAATGAATTTCCTATTTGATTGTAACAAAAAAGTAAAGCTGATAACAGCAGAAATTGATTTTTTTAGGTGACTACAAAAGGCAGCTATGCCAAAGTATATTTAATCCTTACAATTCTACTTCTGTATCTATAAGCAGAGTGACAGAAAAACAATAAAGGAATGACAGGTCAGAGTTTTCTACATCTTGGATCAAATATCATGGACAGAACTAAAGCTTGTAACCCTGTGTGCTAGAGAGGGGTTTAGAGAAACGTCCCCGCCCCACCTTTCCACCACCCTCCTCTAAAATATTAGAATTCCCAGCATTCTACACTTGGGCTTCCTTCAACCCCGATATTCTTTTTGAAATCTCTACAAAGCTGGTGTGCCTAAGTGTCTTCCCCTTGATCTCGTCTCACTGTATACAGTCACCCTGAGCAGGCTTCTCATGTACGGCCTACAGGCCACAGCACAGGCATCCGCTGGAAACTGTGGGAAATGGAGAATCACCCCCTACCCAGACCCACTGAATGGGAAGCTGCATTTTAACATGATTCCCAGATGATGTGCGTGGACATTAAAGTTTCTACACCCATGGTTTCACTAACTATAAATCAATAATCTCTAAATCTATTATGTCCAGTCCAGTCTCTTCTACCAAAGGCCAGAGATAGGATCAAACCAGAAACTCACTGCTGTTGAGTTGATTCCGACTCACCGCAACCCTGTAGGACAAAGAACTGCCCTATAAGGTTTCCAAGGCTGTAAATCTTTACGGAAGCAGACTGTCACATCTTTCTCCCGTGGACAGGTTTGGGGGTTCCAACCACCAACGTTTTGGTTAGTAGCCAAGCACTTTAACCACCGCACCACCAGGACTCCTTAGAGATAGGGCAGGGATAGTAATTAAGAGCACAAGCTCTACAGTGAGAATGCCTATGACTGGATCCTGGACAAATCGGTTACTGGCTGTATGACCTTCCGCACTGTGTTCTCTGTCGCACTGTGACGGACAGACTCTAAGCAGCCCGTGACCCCTACCTCCTGGTGGTCACACCCTTTTGCAGTCCCCTCCCCTGAGAGTGGGTGGGACCTGTGACTTGCTTTTAACCAACAGACTATGGCAGAGGTGAGGGGATGACACTTCTGTGATGACAATACATTAGACTGAATGCCTGTCTTGAAAGGGCATTCTCCCTTGCTGGCTCTGAAGAAGCCAGCTGCCACGTGGTGAGCTGCCTTCAGATGGGTGTGTGATGAGAACGGGGGGCGGCCCCAGCTGACAGCCAGTAAGCACTAAGGCCTCAGTCTAGCAGCCTGCAAGGAACTCAATGCTGTCAACAACCACCTGAGCTCGGAAGCAGATCCTTTCCCAGTCGGGCCCAGATTCCTGAGACTGTGATGATAAATGTGTTGCTTTAAACCACTAATTTGTGATCGTGTTGTTACACAGCAATAGATAATTAGTCTTAACTATTATACCCATCTGCCCTTTAGATATTCCCACCTGGACTTCCCAAAGACGACACAACCTAAGTAGTCCAAAAGTAAGCTTACCTCTTTCTCCACCTTCACTCCTCTTCGGGTAGTCTCATGTCAACAAACAGCAATACCATCAGAAAAATAAGAAACCAAGCAGTCACACTAGACTCCCTCCCTACCCATCACATCCAACTGGAGAGCAAGTCTTGTCAATTCTACCTCCTCTTTGTCCCCACCGCCCTAGTGCAGGTCCTCATGCTCTTATCACTTTGGGGCTACTGCAATTATCCCTTTATTTCCTACTCCCAGTCTCATTCCCACCTAGTCCATCTTCCACACAACTGCCCACGTCTTCTTCCTAAAAGGTAAATACAACCATGTGACTACCCAATGGATCCTTCAGAAGTCTCCAAAGGCTGACAGGATCAAGACCAAAGTCTGCCTTGCCTTCTGGCATGCCTCCCTCCAACCCTCCACTCCCACCAGCATGCAGCCCCCTGCAGTGTCATGTGCCAGCCCTCTGCTCCTGCTTCTCACTCTGCCTGCAGAACACCTGCACCTTTCAAGACTAAGGCTCAGAGTTCACTCCTACCAACACTTCCTGACCCTATCTCCTACCAACCCTCTTTCCTGCCATACTGGACCTAGAACATGCTCCTATCACACAGTGTCTGTAAAAGTTCATCATACTGATCTGTTTCCTAACAACCGTGAGCTCCTATAATGAGCCCTGGTGGCACAATGGTTAAGCGCTCAGCTGCTAATCGAGAGGTCAGTGGTTTGTACCCACCAGCCAGTCCGCAGGAGAAAAGATGTGAGTCTGCTTCAGTAAAGATTTACAGCCTTGGAAACCCTATGCGGTCGTTCTACTCTGTCCTATAGAGTTTCTGGGAGTCGAAATCAACTCGACAACAATAGGTTTACAGGGTGAGCTCCTATGTTACAAGATTGTATCATATTCATGTTTTTATCTCCAGCTTTCAGTACAATTCCTAGAGCTTATAAAATGTCTGCTGAAAGAATTAAGGGATGTGATTTTTTACCTGAGACAAACTATATACTTTAATAAAGGTTATCCAAAGCTTCTCCTACCTGAAGAATCTGACAGTCTCATTGAGAGAGTAAACGATGACAATGAACAAAAAGACACCTAGCTTTTCGTCCTGACTCCACTATACTTGACCTTAGACAATTCACTTTATTTTGCTTGTCTCAGTCTCTTTGGCTATAAAATGGTGGTAAAATGAAAGCTGTCCAACCTACTCAAGCATGTTGTTAGGACACAAATTTTATAATCTAAGTGCCTATAAAAAATGCTGTAAAAATGCATGCATTTGTATTATTATAAAGGCCAGGTCTGTCTTAATATTTTCATTCACCAACAGAAATAAATATATCCAGTATTCATTAATTTGACAATATAGCCAATATCAGTTAATTTGACAAATTGACAGTGTGCTATATGATGGTGGTGTTCTTGTTGTTAGTTGCCATCTAGTCAATTACAACTCATGGCAGCCCCATGTTTGCAGAGTAGAACTGTTCCATAGGGGTTTCAAAGCTGTATAACCTTTGAGAAGCAGATCACCAGGGCTGTCTTCCAAGGCACCTCTTGGTGGGTTTGAACTGCCAATCTTTAGGCTAGTAGTCAGTGCTTAACCATTTGCATCACCCATGGACTCCCTAAATGGTGTTACTACCTGCTAACGATGTAACATAGTCCACTATCAGATATCCTCCTTGTAAACCTGTTCAATCTAACCAGGAACCTTCAAACAACTCTTATCTCAAAGAGCCAGAACCAAGAAATCCAAAAAGAAATGAACTCAAAAGGTCCAATAACTTCTTAAGTCACACTCACACATAAATGATAAAGGGCTAAAGGTGGAGCAGACATTGTTTCCTACCCAATATCACTCTGTCCTCATTTTGGTTGCTGAAAATACCAGACACTTGCTACCTGACTCATATGCAGCTAAACCATGGCGGGGTGACTCAATTCTGGCCTATAGGACCTAACGAGAAGCCTTCTGAGACACCTCTAGAAAAGTTTCTCCCCACTAATATAAAAAGAAACATGAAACGAAATGCCCGTCTTTGTATCTGCATGTGAAACCTGAAACTGTTGCAGCTATCCTGTGATCATGACAGAGAGATCATCAACACGATATATGACAGAGCAAAAAATGAAAAACACTTGGGTCCTGGGTGTCATCATCGAGCAACAAGCCATTTAGCTATCCCCAGAACTGCTCCACCCCGACTCCTCTGCAGCCCCTAGTTAGATGTATTCTACTAGCTAAGAGATTCATATGCAACTTCAGATTATTTTTTATCACAGGATTATTTTAAGCATTTAGGTTCTTTCTATGTGCCCTGTACTTTATTTCAGAACTAAGTCTAAGTTCTTTATTCTTTTAATCAAATCTTATGAAATATTTTTCTTTTTCCTAAGTTTTACAAATGTTCTACCTGGTAAGTTTCAGATTTATGCCTCCATATCCATTTTGCTCAGCTCAAGCTGAAGGTAATTACTTTAACAACATTACGTCTTTAAGATGTGCTATTAATGTGGTTCATAAATTTAATAGCTTAAAATGCTATGAAAACCTAAAAGAGTTCTAGAAGAAGTTACCTATATTCTAGAGCTGTGCTGTCCAATACAGTAGCCACTAGCTACATGTACCTTTATAAATAAAAATTAATGAATTTAGCTCCTCAGTTGCACTAGACACATTTCAAGTTTCAACAGTCACATGTGGCTAGTGTCCACTGTATTAGTGCAAATATAGAATATTCCCATCATTGCAGAAAGTTCTATTTAACAGTGCTATTGTAGATAGAGCCTCTAACAGGAAACCAAGAATCTAGGAATGCAGAAGATAGGTGTAAGAACCCTTTGGAAATCTATGTAGTAACATTCTAAATTGCAGAGCCCAAAGGAATTATACTAGTTACTCTCTTCTGCTTCATGCCCTATCCAGTATCTGACTACTAGACCTGAAACTCTGTCTAGCATCTGGAAAGCCCACCTGATCACTTCAGAGGAGTGCTTTTCTCCCATAAGACACCAAGTGTACCTGTGACACAGTGCTTATGGCTCTGAGGTGTTCTGCAGATACCTGTATCTCAACATAGACTTGTCTTCACATGCTGCCACACTCTATCCAAATCCGCCCTTCTCCAGAGTTCTTTATCTCAAGAAATGAACTATTTAAGCCAAAACCTTAGAAATCATCTCTGGCTCCTCCCTCTTCTCCCTCACCTCCCACATCGAATGAATCACCAGATCCTATTGAGACCACTTCTTAAATCAGTCTCGTATTTCTCCTCTTCTCTCCACCCCCACTACTCTAGCCCAGAGCCACTATATCTCCCACCTGGACTGCTATAACAGCATCCTAACCCTGAATCCACTCATGTTCCCCTTCAATATACATTCCTCACTATGGAAGAGGTGAAGAGCCATCTGATCTTGTTATTTCCAATGGCATCACATTGTCCTAGAATAACCTAAACACTGAACACTAGGTCCCACAGATATGTGGCTTGCATATTTCTCATTGCATTTCCTTCTGGCTACTATGTTTCAAACACAGTAAACATATATTGGCTCTCTTTTGTCCATGGGCCTTACCACATGGAATTTTCTCCACCTGGGATGCTTTTGTCCTTCTTCATCTGGCTAACTCATCCTACAGATCTTCTGGGTGAACCTCCCTGGCCTCCTAAACTAGATTAGCTCCCCCCAGGAGTAAACTCACAACATTCTGATTCTCCCGATTTGTAATATTCACCCCTCTTTATTACAATTATTTTTTCTTTTCCCCACAAGATGGTACATATGTGAGATCAAGTACTTTATATTATTCAACTCTATACTATCAGAGGCTGGCACAAAACCTGGCATATCACAGGAAATCAATAAATATATAAGCAACAATGCAGTATTCAGTTAATGAATAAAGAAACAACTCTTAAAATAAATGTAATTCTGAAAAAAAAAGAAAATCAAACCAATACTGACCTGGTGTTTTCATTATATTCAAAGATCTGAACCTTGGCCATTGCATTTGGACTACTATCATCACTTCCTACAGCTATCATGGGGGAATGAGCACGAGAGCTAGAAATGAAGAGTAAAAAATGTTGTACATAATGATAAAATTAATACACATTAAATTCAGAGAATTAAAAAAACTAGTCAAGCAGATACATAACCTACACATCCATATGTTGCGGCTGTGACAACAACCAGACCCCTGTCACCCACCAGACACACCACACCACACCAAATTACAGTGTGGGCCTGAGGAGGTTTCACAGAGAAACTCAGATGCTGTCTTTCTGGATGGTTTTCACTACATTTTCTTATGTCTTAGGTAGAAAGTAGCTCTTTCCCAAAAACGAAGAGATTTCAAGCATCCAACAGATTTTAAAAAATGTCATGGAGGTTTTAGCACTTTTTCCTCTTGAAAGATTTGGTCATTACTATGAAATGAAAAGTAACTCCATGATACCTTGTGATACTGATATTGTGATATTGACACTGATATTGTGATCTGCCAACCTCTTAAAACTAAAAACAAAACATTGGAAATGAAAAAAAAGTTTTAATTCTTTATTACTAAAGATTCAAGCAATCAAATCATTTAATATATGAAAAACACCAAGTAAACTGTAAAGCGCTACTGTAATAAAATAAGTTATTTATAACAAATACTTGGCCATTCAAATAGTTGTAAATTCCACAGTAGTTTCCATATCTTTTCTCAATGTTCTACAGATATAAGCTTTGATTTCACAATATTAAATATCTGAATAAGAACAAAAAGTATATTTACAATAACATTCTAAAGTTACTTAGAATATATGTTATTAGACGTTATTAAGGTTAAAAAAATTTTTTTAACCAAATTATAAAACCTTCAGATAACCTGAATTGAGGATTATTTCATCTGTACATCCACAAATAAGATGTTCATATTTAAAACGTTTCCTAAATATAACTCACAACTGAACAGTGAGAAAAATCATACAGCCTCCAACTGAATACAGTAGACTGATCAGCTGCATCTACTTCCCTCCCTAAACCTTCCACTGAAATGATGAAAGAATAAAGTCATAACAGCACCAGAAATCAAGAAAGTGTGCCAGTAGAAATCAAGACATTTAGAAGAATTCCTGAAAGGCAAGAAGAGGAGAGTAGACTGACAGAGAAAATGCAAAGGGAGAAGAAGTCCCACATGGCCAGGGGTAAGCAGGAAATTCCACAAGCGCCAACCTTCAATCAACAAATGTAAAGAACAAGATAATGTGTCATGGGATAATATTACCAACAGATTATTCATTTAAAAACTTGCATTCAGAAAACCTGGTACTTTGGGGAGATGACTCTGCCCTAAGGCTAAGGCAAGTCTGAGGTAGGAACCCAGTGAAAAGACTGCAACTTGAAGAGGAGAGGTAAGAACTTATACTAGTACTCCACAACAGTGAGGCAGGATAAACCCATTGAGGTAGAGGTGATAGTGAGGTAGTAGAGGTAGTAGTGAACGTACAGGACAGAGTAGAACTGCCCCATAGGGTTTCCAAGGAGCTGGCGGATTTGAACTGCTGACCTTTTGGTTAGTAGCCTTAACGCTTAACCAGTGTGTCACCAGAGCTCCAGAGTAGGATAAGGAAAAAGAAAATACACTAAAATGCTCCATTCTCAAAGTTAAGCACTCCTCATTTTGGCAACCTGTGGGTATCCCAGCCTGCCAACCAGCTCACTGTTGATCCACACACCCTACAAGGAAGCCTACCTGCCAACCCACACAGCATACTTAGATAAAACTCCAAGTCGGCCCTCCTGTTTAAGAATGAAAACCAGAGCACGCAACAGGAGAAAAAGACCAAATCCAGTTTTCTCTACTAACCATAATAATTTCTTGTTCACAAATATATAATCAAAGATTAACACTTAAGGAAAACAAGGAGCATGGAAGATAAAGATCAAAGTATACAAACAGAACAACTGATCTTTGAAAAAATAGATAATTCAGGGAACAAACTTAAAAAAAATTCTAATTAGGATATAAAAAATTGGCTCATATAAAAGAGTAATCAGAGAAAAACAAAGGCTTCTTGAAAATTAAAAATGATTGCCCCCTCCACAGGAAAAAAAAAAAAAAAAATTCAATGGATGGGATAAAATGTACACCTGGTAAACACACTGGAGATGTGGAAGACAGACCAGCCAATTTCCAAATGATTTTTAAGAAATGGAGAGTAAATCCAGGCACTATGAGCTCCAGAAAGACAGAACAGAGACAATAGAAGAGAACAAACTATCAAAGAAAAATATGGTATCTCCAATTTGAAGACAAGCACCCTCACTGTGAGAAGGACCACCAAGTCCCAAAAAGGATTAATAAAAAAGATCAGTATTTGGTGGCACAGTGATTAAGAGCTATGGCTGCTAACCAAAAGGTCGGCTGTTCAAATCCACCAGCCGCTCCTTGGAAACTCTATGGGGCAGTTCTACTCTGTCCTATAGGGTTGCTATGAGTCAGAATCAATTCAACAGCAATGGGTTTTATATTATATGTCTAGATCTGATTCAAAATAATCCAGTTTTTGTGGGGAGAGGGAGGGGAGTAGGGCATATATAGATGAAACAAGACTAGCTTTGAGTTAATAATAATTATAGCTGGATGAGGGACTTCTGTCCATCACATCCATTGTACTTTTGTTACTCATTACTTTTAGAATTTCTGACAATTTTCCTAATAAAAAACACTTCTGAAAAGAAAAAATGACCTAGAAACATCTTGGGTTAACTTTTAGAATTAAACTACCTAAAACCAAACAAAGTAATTCCAGGAGGTTTAATGTCCGAAATGTGAAAGGCAAAACCAAAAATCTTTCACAATACACTTACAACCTCAGGGTAGAGAAGAATGTTTCAAATAAAACACAAAAAGCATTATAACAATAAACAAAAGACTGATAAATGTGATTACATTAAAATTAAAAACTTTCTGTTGACTATCAAGTGTCATCATGAAAAGTGTCAAATGATGTCATGGATTGAACTGTGTCCCCCAAAAATACGTGTATCAATTTGGCTAAGTCATGATTCCCAGTATTGTGTAACTGTCCACCATTTCATCATCTGATGTGATTTTCCTATATGGTGTAAATCCTATCCCTATGATGTTGATGAGATGGGATTAGCTGCAGTCATGCTAACGACTACAAAACTGGATTGTGTCTTGAGCCAATCTCTTTTGAGATACAAAAGAGAAGACAGCAGAAAGACATGGGGACTTCGTACCACTAGGAAAACAATGCTGGAAAGAGAGTGCTTCCTTTGGACCCAAGGTTCCTGTGCTGAGAAGTTCCCAGACCAGGGGAAGACTGATGAGAAGGACCTTCCTCCAGAGCTGACAGAAAGCATTCCCCCGGAGCTGACAACCTTAACTTAGACTTCTAGCCTACTAGGCTGTGAGAGAATCAATTTTTGTTTGTTAGAGCCATTCATTTGTGGTATTTCGGTTATAGCAACATTAGATGACTAAGACAAATCGCAAACTATAAACTAGGAAAATATACTTGCAACAGAGCTCAAAGTAGTAAGACAAAACCCTAAAAACTTTCAGAAGGAAAAAGCTACCTACCAAAGAACCAACATCTGACTGACCTCAGATTTCTCACTAACAACACCTGAAGTAAAAAGAAGACTGGACAGTATCCTCAAAGGTCTTACATTTTGAGCCTAGAACTCTAAAACAAGCCAACCTATCAATTAAACATTGGGCAAGATGAAGGCATTTTTAAGTATGTTAAAATTCAAAGAGTTTGCTATCCATCCCACATGGAGAAAAAAAGTTACAAGAAGCAGCATACCACCAAAATGAAAAAGAATTTGAAGACAAAATGTGGTATGAAAAATGTGATGGCTAGATATCATCTAGACTAAAGGAATAAATAATAATAAAAAAAAAAAAAAAACCCAAGAGTATGGCCCCCGCCCCCGGCCACCCTTTTAACTCAGTACTGAAGTCACTCCTGAGCGTCACCCTTCAGCCAAAGATTAGACAGGCTCATAAAACAAAACAAGACTAAATGGGCACACCAGCCCAAGGGCAAGGACGAGAACGCAGGAGGGCACAGGAAAGCTCGTAATGGAGAAACCAAGGTCAAGAAGCAGAGAGTGTTGACATGTCACGGGGCTGCCAACCAATATCACAAAATGATGTGTGTATTAATTATTTAATGAGAAACTACTTTGCTCTGCAAACCTTCATCTAAAGTACAATTTAAAAAATAAAAATAAAAAAGCATCCATGAAGGGTAACACCTGGAGATTATTCTGGGTGAATCAAACCAAACCAAACATATTGCCCTCCAGTCAATTCCGACTCATACCAACTCTACAGGATAGAGTATAACTGCCCCACAGGGTTTCTGAGGCCGAAATCTTTAATGAAGCTGACTCATATCTTTCTCCTGCAGAGCAGCTGGTGGGTTCCAACCACTGAACCTTCTGGTTAGCAGCTGAGCATTTTAACCACTGTGCCACCAGGGCTCCTTCTGGGTAAGCAACAAAGTTTTAACAAAATAAATTACATTTGCATATAGAGAGAATATTTACATAATCTAATACTATAAATTTGATTGCTACTTAATTTTTAGAATCAACTTATAATAAAGGACAAAATAACCTACATGTGTATCAAATATTTACAGACTGTTGACATCATAATTATTATAAATCTTGTAAACATAAGCAATATAAAAAGCATTAGGAAATGGAAAAGTGAATGTGAGGTAAAAGCAAAATAAGCTAATCTCTTTTTTAAGAGAGGAGAGTCAATATACAAATCAATAAATAACACAATCAATACTAATAATAGAAATAAAACCTATCTCTTAAAATTACAACTACCAACATAACTAAAACAATTATCAACATAAAAATATATCTAATACCAAAATATATCTATGTAGTCGTACCTCAGGAAACCTCAAGTTGTGTAAACGTGCTAAATTCATCTTTCATATCAGTGAGTATACTTTGTCGTTGTTGTGTACTGTCGAGTCGATTTCAACTCATAGTGACCCTATACCACAGAGTAGAAC